AAGTTCATGTGTGAACAGCCCACAGAAGAAACGGCCGAGGTGCTGTAGCTCTGCAATGCTCACTGGGTGAGTCTGCCCCACCACCCAGCCCAGACTTTCCGTCCAACCAGTCTCCCTTCTGCACCTGCCTTCATGGGATCCCCACCAGCTATGGACATGTACACAGATTCCTGTTTCCTCTCCTGCATTAGGGGAGCCTAAACTGGGACAGCACTCTGCCAAGGGTGGGGGGTGGCCTCTGGCACCAGATGTGGGTTTGGCCCTGGCTCCCCAGTTCACTGAGGGTTGACCGTGGCCCTGGCGATTAATCACTTTTTTAAGACTGTGTTTTTTTTATATATACAGTATGGCTGTAATGACATTCAGATTCTTATGGATTAAATAAGACAATGCAATAGACTTTAATATGTACTTAATATATCATGTGGCTATAAATGATCAATTAGCTATTATTGGTCTAGGAATCATGAGATTTGTATCACAGCTTCATCACTCCCTAATTTCCCACTCTGAGGCAGCTCAGTGGGATAGAGATGAGGCACAGAGAAAATGTTGCCATACCTCTCCTTCTTCTCACCTCTGACAAAGCTTCCACCTGACACCGATTTTGTTTGGCCCACACTGCTCTTGGTAGAGATTCAGAAGCTTTATTTAGCACGAAACCCTCACCTTAGTGCACATGGCTCCTACTGTCTGAATACTTGTTTGGAATTATACAGCTTGGTCTATACTGTCAACCTAAGAAAAGAATTCATTCAGGAAATACACAGGAGTACCCTCACAATAATGCCTGTTGTATTGGGAGTACCTGTCTTTGTGGACGTTCAGGTCTGGCACCACGCTCACCATAAAACGGGACTAGTGGCTTCACACTCTTCCCGGAATTGCAAATTTGCTTCAGTGATGGCTCCTAAGAGCCTGGAGAAAGCCAGGGGAGGAAGCGGCATGGAGCAAAACTGAAATAGCTGCACTGACCCTGCAGACCGTGGAGGAAAGGAACAAATCCCAGGGAAGCGAGGGAGGTACATACATCATGTGGAGCCGGGAGACCAAGCAGACTGCTGTGTTCCAAGGAGCCCAGGATGCACACCCCTCAGTGTCACCAGGAATGTGCTGGCTGGAGGGATGTGAGTCACCAAGTTTCGAGGTAGCTCCAGGCTAACGGAGGAAAGGTGATCCCACTTGGGGCTCCCTGTTGTTGGCAGGAAGGAGCATGGGCTTTGCACAACCCCATTCTCAAGCAGAGGCAGATGGGGTCTTCCCCTCCTGCCAATCCTGCCCCTGTCCCTTTTGCTCCTTTACAGTGGGAATCCCCAAACCTACTTTTGCTCATACTCTGACCGCGCATTTGCTTCCTGGAGGCGCCAAGCCACACAGTGAATTTCTAAGCATGTTTTTATACAAAATTCTAAGTTCTTTGTTCTACCATAGTATGATTTTCCTGTTTCTGCAGTGGTTACAGTAAGGTTTCCTGAAGATCACCATACAGCTGCAGCAAAGAGGAAGAACAGGCCGGCTAGTATCTCCAGGGAAGAGATCCAAAGTCAAACAAAGACACAAAGACCATCAAAGCTAGCTGCCTGTAATCAGTGTGAAAAAAAACGGCTTTGTTATTTTCAAGGTCTCTGGCTACTTCTGAGATCTAAAAACCTTCTTCCACGCATATCTGACGTCAGCGATCAGTTGGAAGGCAGGAAAGCAAAATGCAAGGTTTGGTGTCAAGGCCACGGAGCCCAGGGGGAGTGAGATACCCACACCGCTCTGCCTTTTATTTATTTTTCTTTTGTGAAGGTGACCCTAGTGTGTGGGCCAAACAGGTTTAGCCTGAATTGTTCATTTTAGTTCAATTTAAAATGCTTCATCATGAACATACTCTGCACAGGGCTCCAGGAAGAGGGCCATCTCTATGCCAGGACAGCTTGAGACAGGGCTAAGAGACAAATTAAAGGGCAAGGCAGGGCATCTGCTTCCTCAGTGCTCCTCCATGACCCTCACTCCTTACCTGTGTCTGACACCTTTCAGCCATGCATGGACAGGTACAGATGTGCCAGCCTCTCCCTCTCACTAGGACCTAAGTTATTTGAGGGTATGATCTGCAGTGCTACTCTTGGTTAGCTCCGTAACAGTGTGGTATGGTTTTAGGATGGTCCCTTGCACACAGTATCCATGAAGCAAATGCTGTAAGCAAGTGAAGGCAGTGCTGGCACATAGCCACGACGAGAGCCACAGACACCAAGCTCATGGGGTCACCAGCAGGGTCAAATGGAGGACAGCTTTTTTTTTTCTTCCCCAGTACTAAGGCTCAAACCCAGAGCTTTCTGAGTTGTATTCTCAGACCGACCCCTTTTTTAACATTTTGCAACAAGTTTTTGCCAGTTGCTAAGCTGTGGTTCTCCTGCCTCACTGTCCCAGAGCACTGGGAAGCCAAGCTTTTACAAGGGGGAGAAAGATTATAGTCGACGGCCACATTGTGGAGCTGAATTCTTACGGTCTAATGAACGAACAACCAGTCAGGAACAGTACATATCCTTTCAAGGTGACACAGGACAGAGTAAGAGGACAGCTTCACTGATGGCAGGATAAAATTTTATTTCTTTAAAAGGATGGTCTGTTTTGAGTCAGACTGAAGACTCAGAAGAAGAAATAGGTAGACAGGATGCCAGATGGAAAGAGAATTTTTCATGGTTTTCAAATACGTAGGTAGCTATGGAGTCAAGGTCCCAAATGAAGTCTTACCTTGGAAAGGAGGAAGGGGATGATGGAGAGAAATGGTAGAGATTGGCACTGTTCAAAAAGTGGGAGACTGAGGTTGTGTTATAAGGCCCAGGTTTTCCTGATGAAGCAGGAGGCAGGGACACCTGCCCACTCTAGTTGAGGGTAAGGGTCTCAGGCTCATGCAGAGTAGCAAAGCTACTGAGGTTAAAAAATGAGTCATTTATAGATAAAGGAAGTCATTTATAGATAAAAGGAATGATGATTTAGTTGTAGATCACTTTAGCCTAATATTATAAATTTGTACACCAACACTTTAAGTCAGAAGTAAGCAGAAAGAAGAAAAATGACTTTAAGTCAGAAGTAAGCAGAAAGAAGAAAACTGATACAGGACATTGTATCAGTTACTGGTAAGGCAGCTCTGCAAAGTACCAAAAAATTGAGTGGCTTAAAAGAACAGCAGTTCTGGAAGTTAAAAGTCAGAAATCGTAGAGTCAATGCAGCCATCCTGTCTGAAGACTCCAGTGGAGAAGTTTCTGGGGCTAGCTGGTGAGCCTGATGTCCCTTAGCCGGTGGATGCTCCACTCCAGTCCCAAGGTCATCCCCTCCCTGTGTATCTTCATAAGTCTGTCTTCTCGTGTGTCTGTGCACCCACATGTCTGTCCCCTCTGTAAGGAATACCAGTCATGATGGATTAGCGCTGACTTTAGTGTCTGCAATCTTACCACCTCAACAAAAGATCTTTCCCACTGAGGTCAGATTCTAAGGCACTGCGCCTTCAAAATCCCTCTTTAAGTGAATACAATGCAACCCATCCCAGTAGGTCCAAGGACAGCAAATGCATCTGGTTAAAGTGAGAGAGAAGAAATGAAAGGTGCCAAGAACATCGGTGGGGTGGCTGGCTGTGGGGTCTCGATTCTGGAGACTGGAGTCAGAGAGAAGGGTAAGGCTGAAGCGTTTGCAGGTAAGGAGTCACAGGGATGGTTCAGCAGGGTTCAGGGCACAAGAGAAGGCTGCAAGGTGGGGCATCTGGGTCCAGACTGTCTTGGTGCTGCAAGGCTTGCAGTCTGGCCCGACTCTGGCAGGTCACTAAGCAGAGGGCAAGGTTGCTGATAGCAGCTTCTCCACTGCACGGAAGGAGCATGGCAGCAATGTCAGGTAATGGGAGGGAAGACAACTATCGTGATGGGCCACTGTCCTCAAGGAAGGTGAGGGAGCATAGCTCAGGAGCCAGGAGCTGAGGGAGAGGGCAACAGAACTGGAAGAGAAATGCCCCAAGAGTTAATGGGAGCCATGGTGGCACAAGTGTGGAGGAATCTGAACAGTGGGGTCAGGTAAACTCCTGGCTGGGCAGAGGCACAGCGGCAAAGGGGCTTCTTTTGTTGAAGACTTGGAATAAAATGCAATAGGGCAGAGGGGAGTGCTATGGCTTGTGTCTGGATGTCCTCCCAAAGCCTCACACAGTCATAGGTGGGGCTTTTTGGAGGTGGCTGGATCCAGGATGTGAGGCTGGGACTGATTCACCTGTGGGATGCCAGGACTGAGGGTGTGAGTGCTACCTGCCCTGAGAACAGGTAGCCTGGATAAGACACAAAGGAGAAAAAGGGCTGCTGCACTTTTGCTTGTCTTTGATGCGTGCTGCCTTCTGCCTGCTCTGCTTTGCCGTGCACCGTTTCTCCTCTGCGATGTTCCTCTGCAATACCATCCTGCTCTGGAGCGAGCTGACTATGAACTGAAATCTCTACAAGCTGTGAGCTAAATAAATCTTTTCTCCTTTAACTCTGGGAGTCGGGTATTTTGTCTCAGCAATGGGAAAAGTAACTAAGACAGGGAGGAAAAATAAAAGCAAAATTGTGATTCAAAAGATTAACCAGATGCTTCAGGCTGTGATATTCATTTACTGAGCCTAAGTTGCTTTTGATTTATCTTGAATCTCCCTCTTCATGCAATAAGGCAGTGGCTGAAAAGACTCTCAATAAACCAAAATGTCAGCACTGACCTTGGTCAGGATGCTTTCCCTAAGCCAGAGTCAGCACCGTGGTGTGCAAGGCCCATGCAGACCCCGGCCGCAGGTACCAGTGGAGGGCAGGGCAGGGGCGGCCGGCAGGGGAGGTGCTCAGCCTCATGTCTTTCTTCACAATGTGGGGCTTCTTGCGGGGTAGACACACAGTGAATGCTCCATCAATGTGAGTGGTGATTGTTATAAATGTGTTGTTCAGAATCAGTAATGATAACGATGGGAAGACTCCGTCTCTCTCCCACCTTCCCCTAAAGATAAACGCCCTGCGATTATTTCAGTGTATTCTTTATTTCTGCAGGTTCTTGATAAAAGCACAAGCTTGAGTAAAAGCATACCGCTGTACTCAAAGGCAACATTACATGGCAAGTAAAAACCGTCCCTGATCATGTCACAGAAGGAAACCTCAGGAAGGCATTTCCCATCTCCTGGCAGTTTTACAGTTATTCACATCAGCTATGCATTTGAAGCCCGATCCTATCTCCCATTTTCACTAACTTTTTTCACTGAAATGTGTGTTCACAGCTGTGCATGAACATGTGTGTGTATACGTGCACACACATGCCTGTGTAGACAAACAAAAACCTGCTCAAGGAAGTAGCAATGATGCTCCGGAAAAGCAACCCCAAGACGACAAAGCAGCCACAGCAACAGGCCTTCAGAGCGGGGGCCAGGTTTCTCCTCCTCTGGAGCCCCTACAGCCTAACGATGTCACTGTGGCTGCCTAAAATTGGCAACCTAGTGGGGTCCTGGTCTTGTGGTTGCTTTTGCTGTGAGCTCCCCGCAGAGCAGAACCACAGGGCAGTCCACGGTGGGGAGGAGGATGTGGGAATGTGTGAGCGTCACGGCCAGCTCGCACTGGGAGGCATCACTAGAAAGGGGACTCTGCAGTTCACCTGGGCCCCACATGCCTTGGCTGGGCAGGCAGAACATTCAAAAGCCTGTGCTGGAGGTGAGACTCCTCAGCCACAGCCTCTCCCCCAACTCTCACCAGGTGCTGGGAATTTTCCACGCTCACAGCTGACTCCCATGCCTGGCACACCACTGGGAGCCTCGAGAGTTCCCCTTAAAGATATTTAGCTGGTGACTTTGGTCCGGCCACTTGCTTAGTTTGCCAGCCCTTCTCAGCATCTGGATGGGCAGTCAGAGCATCTTGATAGGTAGCACAGCGTGGCTTTTAGACCACGTGTAGCCTGTTTTAAGAAAAGCCAGAAAGAAGAGGTTGAGGTTCCACCTGTCCCTGCTGAGTGCTGCAGCGGCCGTGGGAGGTCCTTGCGCAGGGCTGGCCGGGTGCGTTAGGCTGCTGCCTTGGATGCTTTCCGGGCCTGGTACTCTTGCTTCGCTCTCTCCCTCTGCTCCTGCTCCCTCTGTATCAACTGCATCAGCTCCACATGCCACGCCTGCAGTTTTTGCTCATAGGTAGCGAGGTCCTCGGGCTCACAGGTGGGGAGCTTTTCCTCGACAAGCTGGGTGGTCAGAGTCAAAAGGCTTTCTGACTCAACTTTGCCCAGAGCCTGCAGCTTAGACTGAGAGACCTGTTGGAATTGAAGGAGAGAGAAAAAGAGAAAGAAGGGGACAGGGAGAGGAACAGAAAAAAGGGGAGCAGTTAAGCAGAAAAAGGAAGCAATTTAGTCACTTGCAAAACAGCCCCACACTTTGCTTGCAGGAAAAGCTCTTTGTTGAGATGCTGTCACATGGCTGTTCATCCAGGTTCTGCTCCCCTCAGCTTAGAAGTTTGGCTAAGATGCTGGACAAGTGATTTCTCCCCACTGACTCTCAAACACTAGGGGAACTCCATATGCTGTATGCTGGGACTCCCTTTGTGTTGTTTCAAACCACAAAGGTGGCACAGGTGTAACGCACGCACGTCTCCACACAGACCTATTCATGTCCTAGCAGCAAACTCCACTGGATGCAAACAAAATGGCAGAGACATCTGATAACCTGGAGTAAGCCCATTCTTATCTTTTCCTTCAAATAACTACGGTCAATGTTTCCCCTGCCAGCGGTCCTTTCAACAGATGGAAATCGCTGAAGGATTTCTCACTAATGGCAGGCTAAACAGGCCCAGGAGTGCCTGCACTATTAGAAGCTTTCACCTGCTGTGCCCCCTGCTGTCAGCCTTTCCATCCGGCCTGCCTACAGCTCCATCCCAGTGGCAGCTTGGGTTGGTCAGTGATGTATTCCCGGAGAAGTAAAGTATTAAAAACCTTAATCTGCTTAAGTGCTTCAAGATGTAGATCATCAGAACAGCCACTTACGGTCCCAGCTGCTGCTTAGACCACACATTCCCATGTTCCCCAAGCCAGCGCACTGGCGCAAGCACTGAGCCCACTCTGATATGACAGAGCCTGTGGGCAAGGTCCACTGGCTCCACGGCACGAGTGGAGGCATAGCATGTTTGGGCAGTCACGTAATGGGTTCCAAACAATACCTCAGACTAACACAAATCAAGCAACAGAAGAAAAGGAGATATAAAATTAGGACAATTGCTTTCTGCTACCACTCTCCACATGGTTTGGGGCCAAGGGGTCTCAGGATAAGGTATTAGCACTGACTCATGAAATTGTCCAAATCTCAATTCAGTCACTCATGGGCAAGTGTCAGTGGCGTCATGTGACCTGAGTCTGCCATCCACAGCTTGTGAGGATAAAGGACGTGCAAGGGAGCCTAATACAGCGAGCTGTCGGTGAACCTTCGCCTCTTCTGCTGATTTTTACCATGTAGGTGTGGAAAATGAAGGCCCTGTGGGCTGAGAACTTAATGCAAAGCACAGGCTTCTACCCTGTGAGATTAAATATGCACAAAACAGGAAGAGGTCATAATTTTAGGAGTTGGGCTGCAACCTCAGTCCACATGAATGTGAAGATGAAAACCTGAGGGGCTAAGGAGGTTTGTTTTTTTTTTATAATAAACCATTCTAAATAAATCTACAAAATTAGACAAAGAGGAAGGGATTAGTATGAAAATCCTCAAACCAGTTCTACTACCAAGTCTGTGTACCTTAGAGACATTCATTATCCTTTTTTGGTTTCAAATTAGAAAAAGGCTGACCAGTGAGCTTACAGAATTGGGAGAAACAGTTGCTTAAAATGCAATAGGAAAAGAGATTTCTCACTGCTGTTCAATATAAATACTTTCCAAATAGATCTAAATGTAATAACCTAGCAAAATTTGTATCTTTCTGTCAGAAAATGACACAATGGTCTGTTGGCAAAGGTGGGAAAGTCTTCTGTTCTCTAGGGAGAATCCCGCCGATGCAGCACTTTTCTCTCTGCACTGAAGGGACAAGAAGCAAGGCAAGGAGGAGGCCGGGGGTTTAAACAGTGAACATGCTTCCTTTCCGGCTGCTGATCACAGGCATTTTGGGATGTACTGAGTTGAAAGCTACCAGAGACAGCCTGAGTGCTCAGGGGTGTTTACATGGCCATGCAATACAGAAGAGCATTTCTAATGGCCCCAGTGACTGGCACAAAACTGCCAAAGATGAGCAACAAAAGATGCCTGCCTTTCCTCTTACGAGCTCAAATGTGGCTCTGTAAAGTGGAATTGGGTTTCTGATCCAGTGCACGCTGCACAATATGGGGACCAGATACTGGTCCCTCCATGATGGAAGCCAGGTCACAACAGCGAGGAGGCAAGCTATGATCCATCCATCAGGCACCTATCCTTCATGAGGGGATAATGACAGACTGCCTTAGTGAGCAAAACTGTGACCGATTAGCTCAACTATAAAAAAAAAACACTGAAGACCACATCCTGTGTGAAGCAATAAAAATGTAATTTTGATGTCAGTTTTTAATGCCTTTGTGTGTGACAGTGATGCATGAACACTTAGAAGACTGCTCATCCATCAGTACAGCAGAGAAGCATGTTTTATGCACAGCTGAGAGACTCAATTTCTGCTCACCTTAAAGCGCTCCAGGTACTGCGGAAGCTTGGACTCTTCTGGTTCCTCTATGTCTAGCTGCTCCACCACATTATCTGGGTCTGGGCCATCTCCGCCTTCTGGGGGAGGCTTCTCTGAGGCGCCCTCAGCTGGAGAAGTCAGTGCCTTCAGCACTCGGTCCAGCATATCGACCTGTGGAGCAGAAACTCAGAAAGTACACATGGTTTTGGCAGCACACAGTATTGTGAAGCGTGGCTGGGAAGCTGAGAGTGAGGGAAAGCGGCCTACGGAACTGTGAGTAGTTTTCTCCTGCTATAAAATTGCAGGAAATAGCTGGGGAGGTGTCTCAGTGGCAGAGCGCTTGCCTAGCGTGCATGAAACCCTGGATTAGACCCCAGCACCACACACACACACACACAAAAAGTAGGAGACATAAATTATTACATTTTTTGCACATTAGAAACACCTCCTCACATGACAGAGAAAACACAGTACAAAACAAGTGGTGCAAAGAGGCAATCCTCTTACAGTAAGGATTACTTATATGCATCAAATGAGCACAGGGACATCTAAGTTTGCTTCTAATTACCCAGGTAGGAACCCAAGAATTACGCCTGATGAGTGATGAAGAACCTCCCCCTTCCATGTCTTCCTTAGAGTCAGTTTGGGATTGGGACAAAAAAAAAGAAAGGCCACAGCCAGGCTGAATGCACGTTAAAGCTGCTGGATTCAGGTGACGGTCGCCCTCAGAGAAAGATTTTAGCTCACAGTATGTCTATAAATTAGAGGTCAGCCAAATCCACATATGCTGCCATCAAAGGCCAGCAACACATACATGAAATTCATTTTAATGAGGTGATTTCTGTGACTTACGTATTAAGTAAGTTAAAGAACAGAGGGTTTCCTTTTGTCTTATCCCTCTCCACCTCTGCTTCTACTTCAGGCACTTAGCCCACGAGCTGGGACAGAAACAGCCATAGGGGCAGCATAAACACCTGCTTAGATACCGATGAATCCTGTCCATGTCACATCACAGCAAAAATCCAAAAAGTACACCAAAGCCTTTACCGCTTCAAATCATGACGCCTAACCTGGGCTCGTATCACATTCTTGACAGGTGAATAACAGAATAAAAATACAAGTTTGGAGGGAAAGTTTCCTTAGCAAAGAATTTATGTGCAATTTTTCTCTTCAATCACCAGCACTGATTACAGCAGGCTTAAAACATGTATGATTAGAAATGTGCGTGTTTTGTTATACACATCTGGAAATGAATGTGACAACTCACTAGATGTTAGTGTGAAGTGCCAGGACAGGCATCAGACCTGCGTATCTCCTGAAATGAAGGGCAAGAGTCAAGATAAAATAAGCAAACGGCTTCTCAGTGACCTTTCTCCCAGGCAAGGAGCCAGCCACTGTCCTATCCTCACTCTCGCTAGAAAAGCTGCTTGGCCAGGCAGGACACTGGCTGCCTGCAGGGAGTAAGACCTCTGGAGTTTCCTAGAGTCTGAGCTAAGTCTGGTGACTTCATAGTATCAAGGGACTTAAGTGACTAAGGGAGATGAGCTCTGAGGCTTCTGGGAGGACAGTGCTTGAGACCAGGCAAAGCGAACACCTTAGATCTTTGAAAGAAGCACCAATTCAGATCTAGCATCACACACTCCCCACAGAATGGCTTCATGGAAGGAAAGTAAGATGGCACCATGGCCCACAGTCCCTAGATTCATTTCTTGAGGGCTTTTAGAGGGGAACAGTTGCTGTGTACTTTCTCAGGACCGCATAAGAGTATGGAAATGCCAAAAGTATTTAGCAGGAAATTTTATCCTCTCTTGAGCTCCCACTGAGATTTTTTTTGGGTGGGTGGGGACTGTGAGGTGGGCAGTATATTATTGAGTTCAGTTTGAATTTCATGGGAGCAAAATTGTTTTCTTCCTAGTCAATGAGCTGTAAGTCAACATGAGTTGTATTTTCTAGTGTTTTTTTTTTGTTAGTAGCATTGAATAGGTGCTTTACTCAACTGGGTAAGTACTTATTCCATACAAATATAGAAAGCAGGGGTAGGGGCAAGACAATGAAAACAGACCCAAAGCTCAGCTTATCCTGAGGAACAGAGAAGGCCGAATCTGGGTAAATGAGGGCTGAGGAACGTACCGCTTCCCTACATAGCTTTATGTCCTTTGGAGAGGAGGCCACCTTCTCCATCACTTGAAGGGCTCGGTCAAGGTAGCCTGGTTTCCATATCAGAGGCATGTTGGGGTACACAGCCCGAAGTCCGTGCTGCATTTCCACCTTTCCTGTGGACAAAAAGAGCAATGAAGAATGCTGTCATGTCTTTCCCCTCCATCTGAGACTGAGGACTGAGGTACCAAGTCTGGCCGTTACAGAAGCAGCGGATCATTTCAAAGCTGCACCAAGACTCTCACTTTCATTTAGCAACCTGGTGACATTTTAGAGAAACGATGAATGTGGTAACCTTTAGCCAGGTATGCTGGCGCGTGCCTGTAATCCCAGCACCGTGAGAAGCTGAGGCAAGATTATAAAATTCAAGCCCAGCTTGGGCAATTTAACAACTAAATGAGACGCTTTTTCAAATAAAAAATAAAAAAACCCCTTCAGTTCAATTTCAAAACTGTATCGAAACAACAACAACACACCGAAGTAGTAAAACTCACTGTGCACACTTTATAATACAAATTTGTGTGACTTTATGTTTCCCCTTTTTCATTTGGGATGGCAGAGACTTTTGTAGGGCTGCCTGAATGATTGGCCTGAGGGAAATTTCAAGAGGATGCCATATCTGCCTCTGTGGAGGGCTCCCCTTAAAACAGAAGTCAATAGAAATACTATTTTTGTTTCAAGACTAAAACCTTTCCCAGAAAAAGCAATTTCACAACTTTGCTACAGTGAAAACTGTCAACATCTGACAACTTTCCTTTGCCAAGAAATGTTAGACAGTTTTTAAAAAGTGCCACAAAAACCAGTGTATGGTCTTTATGAAAAAGAAATCTCATTTTTCTTTTTTTTCCTTTACTTGAGCTTTATTAGTTCTTAAACTGTAAGAGTCCTGGCGATCCTTCTGGGTCTTAGGATGCATTTCTCTTGGTGCCTCAAGCTGTCCAAACTGGGGTTCAGATGCGGATTAGGACAGCGGGTCCTCTGCTCCTGCAGGGTCAGGACGGGCTGAATGCCACAGCAGAAACCTGCTTTGCACTAACGCCCAAAGTCACCTTCAGCTGCCAGGTCTTAAATCCACCTTCACTTAGCTTTCCCGGGAAGGAGGATTTGGGAAAGCTACGGTAGGACACAAACAGACAAAGCTTATCAGGCAACAGCTAATTTTAGACCTTTAAGGTGCTTGGGGCTACACGGCAGTCAGTGTGGGCCACTGCTTTTATCAGGGTTGAGTGAGGCCATGCAGCACGTGACACGATGACAGCAAAGAGCTTTTGATCTGTTGGCTGTCCGTCACAAACAACGGTAAGGCACGTTTTCCTGGCCCTACCAACTTCCTGAACAATCCATGCAGTACAGCAGTCCTGAATGCTCATCTGAACATAACAACACATGTAAATCAATATCAAAAATAGGCGATAAATATGGAAAACATGATTTTTAAAAATGGTGATCAACTCTTGTTAGTCTAATAGTCAGTCTAAAAAGTTCTGAAAAACCTTGTTCTCAGTTCATATCTGAGTCAGCATCCCAGAATGCCACATTACATTATAAGCAAAGATCAACTTCAAAAGCAGTCAAGCTGCTATAACTTTCATTTCAAAAAACAAAGAGATGCAGAAGCAATGAATTACCAAGAGAAGGTGCTTTCCCAGAGGCCTGACTTTGTAAGAGAGAACAGAAGACCAATGAAATAACATGCATTTAGTAAGTCTCTAATAATCAGGACACCTTTAAGCTGCATGTTATTTGCTCAGATTCCACATAACCCAGAGGCCGAGGCTGCTTCTCTGGACCTCACTCTCAGTGCAGTCAGGGCCCACAGGCAAGCCGGTGTCCCACTGCACTGTGCGGTCAACACCGTGCTTCTCCCAAAGTGCTGTTAGTTGTGCTCTTTGAGTTTCTCTTCCCTCCCTTGAAAATAAAACTGAAGAGATAAATTCAACTTTAACTCTTAATTCCTTACCTCCTAGACACCAGTTCTAAAGAAACAGGAAGACCTCCGTCAGTGCTAGGAAAGACTCGTGGCTGGCTCTCCCGACCGAGAGCTCGAACGTCCGTTCTCTACCTGTTCCTCATGTCGCATGTGCTCAACATTACCTACAGCCACCAGACCCACTTCTTTCCTTGTGGGTGGTGGCCTTGGGTTTTAGGAACGGTCTTAAACCTGCCTTATACCTGTGGTCTATTTTTATGTCTAAAAGTGAAGGTTGTACTTGGAATCTCACTAGTAACTTTAAATTATAATTTTATTATGAAATAGAAGACTGTACTAATGAATCCATGAGGAACGATACATATCAGGATCACTTAGCTTACCAAGAAGCGCACTGCCATACAACTGGGAACTCACACCCACTGTGTTCTTCTGTTTTAGGCCTGGAAGTAACAGGGATGCACCGAATTTCCTCTCCTCCTCACACTGCAACAGGAACACAGCAGATCATGGCCCAGCTAAGCGATGAATACTTAATGCAAGAATGTGATGTGTAACAACACGGAGTGGATGAACTTGTTATAGTACTAAGTAAAAACATCTAAATAACAAAGCTACATAAAAATTACAAACCTAATTTTGTAAATAACTGTGTAAAAATGTTTAAAGAAAAATACAAAACAAATATTCTCTATGTTAACAAATTTCTGGGCAGCGAACTTATGAATAGTTTTCTTCTTTGCACTTTTCATTATTTATCGAATTTCTGGCAATGAGTAAGAGTTCCTTTTACAATCAGAAAAGCAAAACAAAATAAAGAGCACACGCTGGACCTGTACTGACTTGAGGCAATGAAGGAAGGTTCAACGCCTCGCCAGCCGCCAGCTGCACACATACTCCCTCATGCTGCTATGGCACAGGAAGGATGCTTTTGAATTCTGGACAATTCACAATGATAAGACTTTTCCTTTACAATGTTAAATATCACTATTAAGTCGCTTTCAGATACATGTGTGCATCTTAAAAACAAATAAGGCAATCGGAAGAACACTTAGTGATCATCTCTTTCAATCCAGGGTGCAAAATGACACTTCAATAAAATGGACGCCTCTGAGACATGGGGCGTTGTGGCACAGGAAAAATCGTCAGCACTGCTAAGCTTCCTGCATACGTGAGACAGCAGGAATGACAGGTACCTCCTTGGAAACGCAGGGTCTTGAGCACAGCCTTGGCAATTCCCCAGACAATGGAGGCTATGAGCGTGGCGGTGCTACCCAAGTACACACTGGCCTGCGCTGCAGCCTTGAGACACACAATTGAGAAAGTTCAGCCTGCCCTGCGCTCCCTCAAGGTCAGGGAGAAAGCAGAGAATGCACACCGTCTGGAGGCTGCAATGGGACCCAGCTGTTAACAGGCACCCAAACTCCTCAACTGTGAATAGCCTTTGTGCAATCCAAGCACCAAGGTTCAGGGTTTTCCTTTACCGCTGGGGCTTTGTGTGTGTGTCATGGGCGGCGGGGGGAGAAGGAGGCAGCAGAGAGAAAAACAAGACTGCTGGACTGCACAGGTAAGTGAAAAGGCTGGTAAGTAAGGACTGGGCTATTTTATGTTAAAAAGCAAACCATCCTTAACCTAGGGAAGTCTGATTTTCTTCACAAACACTGCTTGAAAAGCGGGCCCAGTAAATCATAAATAAGGAAGACTGGAAACATTTTTTCCCCTGTAGAGTAAAAGCCAAATAGGCAGTAAAGTATGTAAACAACAGTATCCTCGATGGGCTGGGAAGGAAGCAGCGATGGTGACAGTGACCAGGGTAGTGATATAGGTTGTGCATCTCCAGCCGCAAAATCCAAAGGCTCCAAAATGTGGAACTTTTTGAGCACTGATGTGATGCAGTGAGTGGAAAATTCCATACCATGGAACTTTTTTTCAAGCATAAAATTATTGAAAATATTTATGAAATTATCTTCCAGCTACATGTATGTGAAACACAAGGGAAGTCTGTTTAGACTTGGGTCTCATCCCACCCTCGCATTATACACATGCAAGTATCTCCTTAAGCGTGGGCAAATATTTCAGACCTGAAAGAAACCTAAAATCTGAAACACTTCCGGTCCTAAGCATCTATCTTTAAAAGGGATACTCAGGTGTTATTTCACCAAGGTCCTCAAGGATTTCTCTTTTTTTTTCCTGTCTTTTTGAGACAGGGTCTCACTCTGCAGTTCAGGCTGGCCTTGAGCTCACTTTGCAGCACAGGCTGGTCTTGAACTTGCAATGATCCTCCTGCCTCACCCTCCCTAATGCTGGGATTACAGGTGTGCGCCACCATGCCCAGCCTGGTTTTTTCATTTTATGCATAAGCCTCTCCCGGGAATACAAGGTATTGCCCCTCTCTCACTCCCCTTCACGGTGGATGTCTCCTTTCCTGGTTCTAAAGGCTCTAAATCATTCCTCAGCACACTCCGGTTGGGATTCCTGCTCCACTACTCTATGGAAACACAGGTTCTGAGGACCTCTATGCTCTAAATTCAGTAACATTTTTTATTTCTCATATTACCTTACCTACTGTAATGGTGGATACATTCTGTCAATTTCAGAATTTAAGTTTAAAAGCTTAAAGAAATAACTCAGCAGGGCGCTCCCTTTGTAAACACCGAGCTTGTGGAAGAGGAAGGTGGGGAGATGGTGGGGTTGGATCCTGGCACACAATGTAAGGGAGGAAAATGGGCTTCTTTCCCCTTTTTTGCTCTTATTGCTTCTGCTGTTTTCTGTTGTGCCTGTGCCCTGCCACCCTGCCTTGGAGCCTCCTGGTTACAGACTGAAACCTCCACAAACTGAGCTAAATAAACCTTCCCTTCTTTAATTTTGGGCATTGGGGTATTTGGTCTCAGCAAAGAGAGAAAAGTAACTAAGGCACCTACTAAAACCCATGGATTTGGATTTTTCATGGATTTTTGCAGTCCAATGTGGGGAGCGCTGAGCTGGAGACAGACCACACATTCAGGGCTAGTGCAAGGCCAGCCCCAAGAACATGGAGCTCCAGAGGCGAGCCATGTACAGAAGCTGTTGAGACTAGAGCAAGGCCAGTCCAGGAGGTGTTTTTCCCTGTTAACTACAGCACAGACAGCGCTGAGAATTTTTGCTTTTAGTACTGTCACCAAAACACTGAGGCCTTGCACTTTTGACTCCATTGTGCGCGTCTCCCGTTTTACTGTGTATAAAGAGGCGGACTGTGCTGGGTTGTCGCTGCTTCTCCATCAGAGGTCAGGTCCCACTCAGTCCCAGCTCTCCTTTTACTATGTACCTACAGTTTTTTCTTAATCTCCCACTGCCCCCTCTTAGGAACCCGCTGGCTGTGCAGGTTGTGGCAACCCAATAGATTCCTGATTTTCTTTCTTACTTATTCTAATTGACATATGATATTTGTACATATTTTTGAAGTACAGTAAAATATAATTTGATACTTGCATACCATGTTGATTTTCCTTGTTTTTGCTCTCTAGCTCATTTGCAGACATTTACACATGGAAGTATAAACCTCCAAAATTACATGTTTGCTGGGTGTGGTGGCGCACACCTGTAATCCCAGCACTCGAGAGCCTCAGGCAGGAGGAGTCCGAGGCCAGCAGGGCTACAAAGTGAGTTTTAGGCCAGCCTGGATTACAGATCAAAACCCCACCTCAAAAAAAAAAAAAAAAACAAAAAACAAAAAAACAAAAGAAAACAATGTATCTTTAGCTTCTATGTGAGGATCTTTTTGTTTTTTTGTTTTTCTCCGGTAGCGGGAACTGAACTCACGACCTTGCGCTTGCCAGGCAGGCGCTTTGCCGCTGAGCTAAATCCCCAGCCCCTATGTGAGGATCTTAAGTCCCCAAAGTCTACCATGAAATCTCTTAACTCTCAAAAGCAACCCAAATTGTAACATGTTCAGGGCCAAGTTAATGATTTCCCTTCCTTATAAAACCTGGTCTTCTTTCAGTTCCCTTTGCAAACACATGGTGCCCTTCTGTCCAGTTGAGTCAGAAACCCATACCTTTCCTGTCTATATATCCAATTCTTCGTTTTGTAATTTACCTCCAAATTACGTCCAGCAGGTGCTCTTAACTCTAGTACACCCCGGCTGCTAGGCCACAATTATCTCTTGCTCAGACTATGTGTGTGTTTCTAAACTGGTCTGACAAGAACAGCCATCCTGCCATGAAAACATTTAAACACCAAGAACACAGCCTGATGTAAAGTAAGTGACATTTAATTCTCAGGCATTATTGTTATTACTGTTGTCATTCTTAGGATAGAAATAAGCAATGACTAAACATCCTAACTTAAGAGCTGAAGCCAAAACTTGGCATTCTGGACTTCTAGAACACAAGTGGTCTAGAGTAACCTTACCAAAATACTCACACAAATGAAACAATCAGTCTTTAATACCCTATACTGTGGTTAAAGTTAGCTGCCCACCTGCTTCTTTGATATGCCTGCACATTCAGCTCTCAATGATTATTAATGACCCATTTCTGGATGTCTGAGGTGACTCAGCCCAGCTCAAGTTTCAGAATGTGCACAGGAGTCAGAGTGTTGCTGAGTGGTAGAGTGGTACAATGCTTGCCAAGCCATCCAAAAGGCCCTGTAGGATAGAACTGCATGTCCCCAGTAGGACAAAACAACGCAAGACAAAATAAACAGCCCCAAAACAAAGAAAACAAACCAAACAAAAAAATGTCCAAAATGCACACATACACAAGGATTTGACTTCAGATTCTCTCAAGCAGAACATCCACTTTGTTGGAAATCAGTAACTGAAATGTACAGAATAAACCTTCCTTCCTGGGTATGCATGACCACAGAGCCATACAGTGGATGCCTCCTTCCAGGTGCTGAGAGCAGAGCGCCTAACCGACCAGCTACTGCTCACTCTTTCCTAAAGCTCTCGGTACTGCTGCGGGGTGACTACTCACGCTGAGGTTGGTCTTCTTCGCCAGGCAATGGTATAAAACATAGAGAGAAAGGAGCTGGGTGGAGGTTGCTTCAAATTCTTCTTGCATCATGATCTCAAAAACCACAGATAAAGCATCTGGCAAGAAGGTGAAAGTGAAAATGAGAGGAAATTAGCTGTAGGTTAACATCACCAATCTCTAACTACAAAACCGGAGCACAGGGCCAGGGATATAGCTCAGTGGATTCCTGGTACCAAAAAAACAGAATAAAACAAAACAAAAAACTGGAGCACAACAGAAAAATAAACAGAATTAAGAAGTAAAAAATGTGTGTCCTAGTCCTAGCACTTCTACAAAGTAGGTCTTTCCCAAGCCTTCAGCTTCTATTGTATGTGTTGTAATGTACTAAATCAGGTTCCCCTACATCAGTGTTTAATAACCAAGGGTATTAAACAAATCACTTCCCTTTTCCTGGCTTCTGCTATCACCTTCACAGTAATAAAATACTATTTGTCCTATCTATTTCAGAAGAGTTTTGGATACTCCTACAAGATAACACATGTGGAAAATGCTTTGTAAATGGTGAAGCAAACTCAAGTCACGATGCCCATTAGCCATGTGAGCTAAGGCCCACAAGGAGGAAGGAAGCACATCATTTTCAAAGTCTCCCTGACAAGCAGGGCCCAGAGGCAGGGCTGGGCTGCCTGCTCCATTTCTTCTGGTGCCTTCTCCCTGTTCAGGCAGAAGAGGACAAATGCTAAATGAAATCCTATCATTATTTCAGTGACAGAAAACAGACAAGTAAAAAAGGGATAGTAAGGTTCAATTTAAAAGACTTGAAAGGAAAATGCTCATTCATAAATTATAAGCCCCTGCCTATAATATATAATGTATTTGTCTGCACACAAATGCTGGTTATAGGAGAATAGGCCTTGAGAAATTCCTAATTTCCCTTGATCTTCTAAAAGCTGAGAAAATCAAGTTCAAATAATGTCTGTCCACTAGTTATCTCCTATTAAAGAATGTTAATACTGGTTTAAAACATAAAGCCCACATCACAAGTACAAGATGTTTTCAATTGATTGAGTTATTCTGTTAATTTTGTATATACTCATAATTATAAAATTGTTAGGATGATTTGCAGCTGTTCCTAGCCAGCCGGTTTTGCACATACTGTTATGGGTCTGAAGGAGACCATAGATGTAAATTTCTATATTTTTTATGCAAATAGGGAAACTGAGACTGACCAGATAGACCAGGAAGTGATTTAATAAATCTAGCAAAATAAGGACCTGGGAGAGATTTTCTTTTAAATAAACCAATAATATTTTAAAAGAACATAAGGTTAAAAATCTGATTTAAAAAACCCTAAAAAACTAAGTTCTGCCAACTGTTTATTCAGAATCCAAATGAAAAGTAAATCAGATTTACTTTATTTATTTATATTCTATATTTCAATCAGCTTGCAAGTAAAGTTAGACTGGCCTGAATAATGAACTTTTTCCCCATAACTATTTATGTACCTTTATATTTCCTATCCTAACGACAGTTAAAGGATAAAACTTAAATATTTTTGCATAGATGATAATAATTTTCATGAAAACTTTTCTGATTTAAGGAACAATGTAAAGAGGTGTTACTGAGAAATAGAAAAAGGGGAAAGTACCTGCATTATACTCTTCCCTTTGAAAGCCTGAAGATCTATAATAAATACCTGAATCTGAGACTGGTTTCTTACCTTTGTAATTTTCTTGCTTTATGAAAGAATCCAGCAATAAGTTGAATGTAAAATTATCTGGAAAAATTCCATATTGAACCTATAATGCAAATAAAAATAAAGGGAAAATTTTTATTCACTTTAATTCAGTCTGTAATGTATGCCTATGTATTATTCAGGATAAAACTTGCCACCATTAGCCTTAAACTGTCTGACTATCATTTTACAGCATCTGTGGCAGTGAAATAGAAGCTGTGACTCTTGAAGTTTGGTAACTGGAACTGTTGGTCAGGGTGAGAAACTCATGAGTGGGTGTCTGATACAAGACAATTGATATGTGAAAAATAAAGCTCCATTCTAACACCTCGTCAGAAGGGCTATAACCAAAAAAAGAAAAAACCAAGTAATTCCACCTCCCACCCACTTCAGTGATTCTTTTCATAAGGTATGAATAGCACATAAAAATGAATTCTCAAGAGAAAGAATACATAATATAGCATTCCCTATCTTTTAAAGATCCAGAAATATGCCAACAAATACCTGTCATTAACCAACCTCCTAGGATATTGGGCTTGCAAGCAGCTGAATATCTGACAATTCAATTCAGAAAGAAATTTTAGAATTAAAATTTTAAGAATAAATGTGGACCATGAGACCTGCCTTACAATTTCCAAAGACTGCTTCAAAGCCTCAGAGCCACAGAATCAGATCTCTGGGAATCTGACACAGAAACTTGAAGTTTCAATGAACTTCTTACATGATTTTCATGCACACTTAAGTCTGACTCCCAGGGACCTGGATTGTGGCACATTTCTGTTTCACATCTGTACCTCAGGAGAATAGACCACCATGTCCCACGCTGCTCTGCTCCTCCCTCACCAGCTACCAGAAGTACCTGAAGGATTTGCTCCAATTGCACCCACTCCTTTCAGACATTCAAATACAGCCCTGACCCCAACTGTAAGTCAATATGGAACTGACTCACTGTCACCAGCAGGCATGGAATGCCTCAGGTATGCTGAGTGGAAAAGTGTTTAAAAGCCACCCTTCAAAAGGCTGTAGCTCAGGGGCCAGTATCTATTATTTCTCAAAGCAGTCATCCAAATCAGCACGAATCCCTGGGGCAAGGTAAACTCAAAATATCTTAGGATGATAAATCATTAATGCTAGAAAGGACCTCAGAAATCAACTGGTCCATGATTCTCAATCCTCAGTATAAATCAAAATCAACTAGGAGCTTAAAATAAAAATACCTCGGAGGGATAAAGAGGCATTGCACATTTCACTATGTTAGGGCAAATTATCCATATGGCACTATCATGGTGGATTCATATCATTAAGCATTTTGTCATAAATGTTTATAAAATGTACAATATCAAGAATGAACTCCAAGGTAAACTATCGATTTGGGGTGATACAATTCACCAATTCTAACAGCTGTGCCACTCTAGGGGCAGCATGTTGATTATCGGGGAGGCTATGTATGTACTGCAGCAGAGGACACAGGGAAAATCTCTACTTTCTGCTCAGTTTTGCTGTGAATCTAAAACTGATCTAAAACATAGAATTTATTAAATAACAAAACAAAACAGAAACAGCAACACTTGGGTGCCAGACAGACCAATTCAGTTGGAATCTCAGAATTTCAGGGGTAGAAATAAGCATATGTGATTTTTAGAAAGCTTTTCGGGTGACTCTAATGGGCAGCCAGAGTTGGAAATCACTGGTCTAGCACAACCCACTCAAATTAGAGTCCTGTATCAGACACCCACTCAAAAAAGTAAGATCTAGAAGGAGAAAATGATTCTCCTGAAGGGTTCTATGCAACTGGTGGAGCCTGTGGGATTATAACCTGGCTCTTCTGACTTTTCGTCCACTGATCTCTCCACTAAGAGATTCTAGAAGCAGCAGAAATGAGATAGGTTCTGTTCTATTTTTCTACACAGGCTCTTCCTGTTTTGTTATCATAGGAGTCTTCTTTGAGTGTAATCTGTGTCATACTCCGAAGAGAGCCAGATTTAATTTATGTCTTCCAATGGGCCTGTCCCTTCCGCTCTTGAGATTCAAGGCCATCACTTTGACCATCCTTATCTAAGAACCTGGCTTAGTCTCCTACTCCTCTCTCACCCAGTGACACAGAGCTACTCCCTAACCCCGACCCTGTATACCACATACTCTAGGCCAAAGGGAACCATATTATTTTTCAGTCATGCATCTTTTGGTGGCCAGCTTAAATGATAACCTCATTTACCTTTTATTTTTTTCCCAGTACCGGGAATCGAACTCATGACATCGTGCTTGCCAGGCAGGTGCTATGCTGCTGAGCTAAATCCCCAGCCCCTCATAAATCTTCTGATTCTCTCCTTCCAACTGGATTTCTTCTCTTAATTCCTTATCTGCTGGTGTTCTTGTATGGCACTTGGTTGATATTAGACTTCTCAGTGAACTTGCTTCTTTGCCTCATTACCCTATCTGCTTCCTGAGGACAAGTAGCTATTGCTCATTCTTGCACTCACCACTATAACTAATCCAATGTCTCACACACAAACCTTCGTATAACGTATACAAGGCTGAACTGGGCTCAAGTCATGGGATGAGAACTATTCTGCACAGAGAGGACACAAAACAAATCAGTATTCCGTTTGAACTCACCCTTTTAAGGTTCAGTGAGACCCACAATAATAACACTGTAAATTTTTGCCTATTTTATGCTTTCTTTCACACCATGAAGGTAATGAATACTCAACCCCAGGGGGGAGTGCAACATACAGAAACATCTTAATCATAGGTAACTCTTGGACTTGAGGGGCAGAATCAGGGGACTTGAAAGGCACAGGATGAATCACCCAGGAAGAGTTTTATTTTATTTATTTTTGGTACCAGGAATTGAATTCAGACCTTGTGCTTGCCAGGCAGGCGCTGTGCTGCTGTGCTATATCCCCAGCAACTGTGTCTTTAAAAAATGAAGCAAGTCTGAATATTCTAGAAAGCACATACCAGCGAAAGTAGTCATCTCTCCCTACCCTCAGACTTTATCACAGGGAATAATGGAGGAAATTTAAGGCTCAAAGGTTAGGGATCAATATCACTTAATTAAAATAAAAAATAAAAATAAAAAAATGAGCACACATGCAGAGTTCTCATGATTGGATGATGTTTTGCTTTTACCTCTCCTTTCCTGACTCATTCTGCTTGGAAAAGCAGCGGTTCTGGGAATTTTTATTCTTGATTTGTTGATTAATTTATATCCAGTCTCATTCTGAAAAAGACTATCTGAGGTAAAAACACCCTATTATCTAAGCTCAGGACGCATGCCAGGAAGCCACTGTTACAGTTTACAGCTACATTCTGCTCAGAGCCTCCTGCTCTCAGAGATGGGTCCTTCAGAAGGTGACTGGATTATGGGGACAAAATAGCGGCCTTGCTTTCAGGAGGCGGGTGTGACTTGGAAGGGTACACCCCACCCATGAATCTCCTCCCTTCGCTCTGTGTTTCCTGGCGCCATGACCTGAGCTGCTCTTCTTCGCCCGGGCTCTTCCGCCACGCTCCTCCAGCCTAGACCCCACAAGGAACGACAGTACTGAAATGGGACTGAAATCAACTTCTCTACATTGTGGGTGCCAGGTATTTCGTCCAGTGATGAGGAAAATGACTAAGATAGTTACTCACCTTATTGACAAGGGTATATAAGGCTTTGTCTTGGGCACCATATTTTAGACACTGCCTGATCCAGGAGTGGATAGTCCAGTCTCTTAGGTACAAGCAGTTGGGACTGTGTCGAAATCTAAACAAAGCACAAGAGAGAAAACTGGTGTCATCTCTTAAACATCCGTGATGAAACCCATCTTCTATCGGCAGGTCCTTCCCTTGGGTATTTACTGACTGTAGTCAAAGTGGTCAAAGCCTGAAAGTCAACAGTTGATAAAAAGTTGAGGTTGAAACTCATTAAATATAAGTCTGAATGGAAAGAGAAAGCAAAGTAATAAGAAAGTTACAAAAATGTTATTCCTTATGTAATACCCCCTGCTTCAACATGTTTTAATGAGATCTATGAAAAATGGTTTGGGGAAAATACTAACCATGGCACTGTAAGGAAGTATTTTAGTAGAAGGGAGATGAAAATCTGAAGCTGATATTTAAGTTCTTAAACAAAAACAGATGAGGTTAGAAATATAAGATAGCATAATAATTCTAGAGGGAAATCTGCTTTGGGATTACTGATCTCTTGTGGCACTTAAAGGACTAGGACACTTTAACTTTACTGAGTTAAAAAGAAAAAAATAGAAGAGAAAAAGGATTTACAAAATTAAGGTTGAGCAGAATTTCATACTCATGTGCTCCAGAAGTCACAGTCCTGCTGACTTCCTCCATTCTGCTCCCGCAGTGTGTCTCCTCGGGGGTCCCACAGCTCCCCACAGGGCCCTGAAAGTTCCACACAGCCCAATACAAGAACTGTACAGTAACAGCATCCTCACCAAACCAGTCCTGCTGCCTCTCTCGCCGAGAGTCTATAAACACTGCAAACAGCCGGGGGTGGGGGGTGGCGGGGGTGGGAAGCTGCTTCTCCTTATTCCCCAGGGTCTGGGACAAAAGCCTGAGCTGGAGCGGAAAGCAGGCCGTGAGGAGGATGTGTGTGGAGAGGGCTCTATGGTTCTTACTGTATCTGTTTTGATTAGGATGATCTTTATACAGCATGTCACGTCAGCCGAAGCCCACACATTTCCTTTGACCATCGAGAAACAGGCCTGTTTCTGGGTTCAATCAAAGTCTTGTCTTAAAAAGCAAAAGGTAAGACAGAACTTGGAACTAAAGGGTTCTGTGCCATATATGAGTTGAGGATGGAGGCTAATACCAGTGGTTTTGAGAGGTTCATCATTCAACCTGCCGCTTGCTATTTCTGCCATCCGCCATCAGGAGAGCTTCCCCTGTGATGGGTGCCAAAGTAAAAGCTGAGAAAGGAGAGCAAGTGAGAAACAGTATTTCACTTAGGTTATCTATTGGTTCTCTGGTGAGAAGTTTGGCAAAAATAAAAAGTGAAGGTGTTTCATAGTGTAGGGTCATCTATCCCTCTCCCTCTCTTTGGTACTGGGGACTGAACCCAGAGGGACATACCGCCCCCATTGAGGGGAATAACCACCACTACTGAGTTATTTCCCCATCTTTTTTTAATTTTCACACCAAAAAATCTGAAGCAGGGTCTCACTATGTTGCTCAGGCTGGTCTCAAACTTATGATCCTTCTGAGTAGCTGGGATTCTGGGTGTGTACCACTGTGGCCAGCTCCATTTAAAAAATTATCACAGGTTTCCCTGGAACATTACTCTAATCTTTTACTCTTTTACTCTAATCTTCTGTACAGAATTAACCCCTTCAAAATCTGAAAGACAAAGGCATTGGATAGGTGCACTAGACACTAGATCTAATGAGATCTTCTGCATGAGACGAAACCAAGTATTCGTCTCAGTGTTTCATGTTTTCTCTCACTGTCAAATCAATAGCTGAGGCACTTGGGCCCCTCTTCTTGTGACTGTGAAACTCTGAGACTTGAAGTGTAATGGCCAATGAGAAGTTATTTTATCTTAAAAGAACTGTTTTTGCAGTTCTGGGGAGTGAGTCCAGGGCTTTGTGCATGCTTGGCAAACACTGCTATGGAGCTGTCCCCCAGACAACATTTATTTTTAAAAGAGAACATCAAGTGCAATCGCAGTGTATTACCTCAGTGATAGTGATGCTTCCTTATTAGGTATAAACTCCCTGGCTAAGGGGGGCAGGGACTGGCATGCTCTACATGATTCCTTAGGGTCTGACATGACACTTTCAGTAAAAAATTCAAAAAAAGCTTCAACCTGCACATGTATTAAATACTATTGTGTGCTGAACATTTTGTTAACATCTATATTACACAAAGTAAATTCCCTTTGTGCAACATTTATTGCCACATTACAAATAAACACACACACATATTTAACAATAATAAAGAGGTGGCACGGCCAAGGACCAAAGGAACTGTGAGATACTAAAGAGGTTTTGTTGGAGTGCTTATCACACTTGGTCTGTTCTTCACTTTAAAGCTAAACCAAATAAGAAATGCCAACTATCTCCTTTACTCAAGATTACGTTATACTTAATTCTCACTTAAACCTAATTTACTTAGGATTTCTCCAGTGACCACTGAGGTTATAACTTTTTCTGTAGATGGGTTTGAAACCACATCCATGACTATGACTATATGTAGCCAAACACCTTCTCTCTTATTCATGGTCAGCAGTCTAAAAAGACTATGAAGAATAACATGTGAAAGTTACTCAAGACCTTCCACATTTAACATGATCATCCCTGCACAGCAGCACCTCTGTGAGGTTTGTCAATAGACTCACAGAGATAGGAGGTCTTTAATAAGTCCATTGTGTGTCCCAGGATGGGTCAGGTACAGCTACTGTTGGTATGACCTCTACTCTCTAAGACTAGATGATCCATGTATAGAACAGATGTCTAGGATATTTTCAAGTATCAACATTGTATCACTTTAGGAAAAATACATATATTATGAAATGTGCTAGCCAAAGTGGAATTCTTGCATTTCCCGGCCAGGCAGCAGTGACGTTTTTCCTAGGTCCCCATCGGTGTTAGAAGATAAATGAGTACACAACTTATGTGAGCAGCCGCATGGAACATAAACAAGTCAAAACATGGTGCAAGTAAAGGCCCAACTTTGAATAGTGAGTGCAAACAAAATCCCTCAGTCAATGACTGTAAGCAGTTCAGATAGATAAACATGGGCCCTTTCCAGAATTCCCATCAGTAACACGACAGGCAGGTAAAGCTGGGGAATGGGGGTTGGCAGGATGATTCTGTGGACCGCTGGCCAGCACAGCACGCTCCTTTTCAGTCAGGAGAAAGGCAAAGAGAGAGGAACACAACTAACACATTGATCTCCCAATTTGCCTGCAAACAGACTGGCTTTTGTTCTGGCCTGCTCTGACCACCAGTCTGGCAGATTACTGACAGCCACTGCAGGAGTCCCCTCTGCGCCCCATGCCATCAGCTGTTTGCTCACCTCAACAGAAGCTTTATTATTGCCTAGGCCAGCGGGCTGCCAAGACAGGCAAACCATGTAAGTATGGAAAAGATAAACAAACGCAACCCTAGTAATCTCAACAGTGCTGTGTTCATGAGGGCAAGAGACACTGAGGTTCCAGCTTGTAAAATGTGAGTGAACTTGCAAGTGTAAGGATTTGTGTGTTTCTTGGAGGAAGGAGGGCCAGAAGAGGACAGAGGGAAGAGTGTGCTCGCAAGAGCTAGCTCTGGTGCTAAAAGTTGGTACCTATGGCAGAAGGGATCTCTGTCCCCAGTGTGAAGGGAGGTTTGCAGGTGAAGACAGATCTTGCTAGGAGGCCAAGTCATGGCCACTCTAATGGCAGGAACTGAGAAGCATCCTGTTCAAATTCATCATTTCATTAAAAAAAAGTGGGATAGTTGTGTTTCAGTGGGATTCAACTAAAGGTTTTGTTACTGTTGAATGGCAAAAGTGGCAATGCTCTTTAGCTCTTTTAGCAGCACAAATAAAAACGCTCCAGGCTAGGCAGACCTCCTGTATAAATGTCATCAGCCTCACCACTTAGCTGCAACACTGCTCTTCCACACGGATGAGCAAGCTTTCCACGCTGTTTATCTGATTATGAGTGCCACCATGCTTCACCATGCACAGCAGCCTTCCCTCTTCCCTAGTGAGTTCTGTAGCCTGTGGCAACTGGCTTCCAGATGGGAGCCGCAGCCACAGAGCCCGGTGGCTGTGGAGAAGGAAACGCGGGGAAGGAAGGGTTGCCAAAAAGTCAGTGCAGCTGGCTCCAAAGCTTTCAGTGTGGACTGAATCTTATCAGTGAGGCAAAGTTTGCAGTTATCAGAAGGACTGAACTCATCATTGAACCAAAGAGCGAGAGTGTTGTGTAACTAAACCAGAACCTAATTCAATTGCTGTCATATACTTTTGTGTTCTAATAAGATAATTAAAAGGATAATTACTTTCTTTTTCATCCTGGTGGAAACTGTTTTCAGAATTGTTAGTCTCAGAACAATTATTATTTGCCCCCACAAAACACTGGTATTATAGATTAAACATTTTGTTGTGTAAGATCCCTGATTCATATTCTTTTTTTTTTTTTTTTGGTTTTTCTCCGGTACCGGGAACCAAACTCACGACCTTGCACTTGCCAGGCAGGAGCTTTTGCCGCTGAGCTAAATCCCCAGTCCCTCTGATTCATATTCTTAAAGAGAAATTTAAGTTAACTTTAATTTCAATAGACATATTTAGAGCCTGCAGGAGATAAATGCACTAAATGCAAAGACTTCCCCCACCTCCACCTAAGATCATTCAGTTTAAGTTTGAATATTTCCAATAAATTTATTATCTATCTTACAATGTAGATGAAAAAGTCTTCCTTTAAAATTTCCTTTTTTTTATAGTTATGTTAACAGAGTCATAATGTACAGACAATGAAATTCAGTTTACAGTGGTACACGTTTTGGCAAATGTATCCCCTTGCATAGACAGATGCTGCCACAATGAAGACACAAGAAGAATTCTTCCACCCTAAAAATTCCCAAATGTCCCCTTAGTAGTCAAGTCCTCACGGTTTGCCAGCCAATTTAAGCACACTTTATGTAGATAACTTCCTTGGGTCCCTTTCCAGACTCAGAGTGAATAAACTTTAGAAGAAGAAGAGCCACAATTTGTATCTGTTGCCCCCCCCCAATTTATATTCTGCCAATTTCCAAAGAGAATTTG